GTTACCAAAACAACCCATAACTTAAAGGAAACACTAGCTAATAGGAATTTACCTTATGCTAGATAGGAGCACACCAACGTGAAGAAGAAGAAGAAGAAGTGTAGAATTGTTTTACTTACCTCTTTCTTCCTATTTAAAATCCCTGTCCATTTTTAAATTCATTTTCCTCTTAAAAGACCAAAGTGCCCTCTTACTTATCTATTGATACAAATTAGTCTAAACACTATTCCAAATCATTTTTTTCATCTTTTACCACTTATTCAATTTAATCTTAAATTTTTAAATCTTTTCGATATTACAAGGGTATAGTTGGCATGCCAAGAATCGAGGGTTCTATGTGGTCCTTCGGGACGTATATGTGATCCTTTGGAACATATATGCAGTTATTCAGGACAAATATTTGGTCCTTTGGAACATATATGTTGTCCTTAGGGACAAATCTATGTGGTCCTTCAGGACATATATGTGGTCATTCGGGACATTTCTACGCGGTCCTTTGGGACATTTTATATGGCACTCAGTGCAAATTATATGAGTTATGGTGACAACATTTGTGCAAAACCTCAATGCACTCACATATCTTTAGTTCTCAGAAGTATACATGGGATAATAAAGAGATAAAAACAAATACCTTGTATGTGATGTATATAATTTGTTATGTGAAATGAATTACAGGATTTATGTAATGTTGTGTGTATTGTTTGGTTAAATGAGTTATATGATGGTTACTAATGTTAGGCATAAGAGTATATGATTATAAGAACTAATTATAAGAATTTTAATAATGATAATGATGGTATGTGTGCATATAAGCATTGTGTTGTATGAAATGTACATGCATTGTTAAGTAGTTACAGTTTTCATTATTCGTTTACATGTCTCACTAAGTCTATGACTTAGCGTGTGAGTGTTTCACACGTAGGATCCAAGAAGTTTGAAAGAGAAGATAGGCAGAGGAGACAACATAGCATTATTAGAGATCAAATTAGAAGAAATTTAACAGTAGGTTTATTTGTTGTATTAAATAACGTTGGCATGTACATAAAGGATTAAATTGTATCAGCTCTGATCAGTTTTTTAAAAAAAAATTATTTAATGTATGTAAATTATTTAGTATGTTTAAATTAAGTCTAAAATTCTCTTATATTTTATATAAGTAAGTGATTTGAAAGGTCAATGTGACACATTGGACTCATATTCGGGTTAGATACGGGTTGGGGGTGTTACAGGGAGAGTTAGATTCAAGAAATGAATGAGCATGATCTTCATTTGAACGAACGTTGGTGAATGTTAATCCAAATTAGGAATAAGATTCAGGTTTCAACGGCTAAAAGGAGTGGAATATCAATTATTGTTCACCCTTGTTTAACGAACGAATATATCACCAAGGCATGCAATATTGACCAGCTCTTTAAAGTTAGGAATAACAAGAAGACATTGAAGAACGCTCTACTGAGCTTTGAAGGAAGGAAACCAGTTGCTAAGGCAATTGGAATTATTTCAATTACCATGGTAATCATGTTGCCTCAGCAATAAACTACGCATACTTTCCAGACAATTGTCACACCACTAATTACGATAATCCAACCTGCTCTCTTATTCAATCTCAGTCTAATTTTATTTACTTGTTCCATATTTTATTTGTTTATTCACACTCCTACGATCACTAATTTAATTCTATTTATAGTGCAAGAAGTTAGAACTTAGAGTTTTACCAATCCCTGTGGAGACGATATCTCTCTATACTATAACTTGGGACGTGTATACTTATACCAATTGCGAGGCTCATAAATCACACAACAATACCCACCTTTGGTACCGATACAATTTGGGTACACTAGAGTCTAAATTTGTCTGGTATTACCAATATTGACCCCTTCAGTATCGATATTGACTCTCTAGTTTCGATACTCCTATGAGTATTGGTATAAAAAATAGGTTCAATGTTTAGAAAATTAGGCCAGTATCGATACCGTTACTTAAGGCATCGATACCCTTCGTGCAGCATTGATACTCCATGAGTATCGATACAAAAATAGGCTATTGAAATATGAGAATTGTTTGCAATATTGATACTCCATCCTCGAGTATTGATACTCACAGGACAATATTGATACCTCATAGATGAGTATCGATACCAGAGGCTAAAAAGAATCTTTGTTCTTAGCTAACTAAAGAAAAATATCGGCATTGTTCTTCCAATGCCGATACTCTAGCCAACAAATGCCATTTTTGGGCACGAAAATGAAATCTTTTTTACTTCTAAAGGTCCTAATAAGGTTCCTAAATTTTGTTTAAGTCTTATGTCTTATAAGAAGGGCATTTTAGGCTATTTTTCATGTTGAATAACATCATAAACTGAAATCTACCATTTGTGCACTCTCATGTTTCATAACTCATTCAAAGCAACCAAACACATCTAGTGATCTATAAGAGGTATAGTTGTTTTATAATTGTGTTACCTGGACCTCCTAAGATACTGGAATGATTTCAAGCTCAACCAAGAACTAACTTTTTCTTCCCCTTATCTTTGAATCTTTCCCCAATTTATCTCACTAGCAAAGAATCAAATGCAAGAATTACTAACTTGTTTGAAAGCTTAGGAAATGTTTAGGAACACTTTCTAGGGTTAAAACTTCACAAAACAAGCTGAATCACCATATGTTTCTAAACCCCCCACTAAAACCCATAAATGGTTCCCATGGCCAAAACTTGGTCTTGATGGCTTGAATGAAGCTTGGGGTGAGTAGATTACAACACTTACCTTGGAATTTTTGAACTAGGCTTGTAAGACTAAAAGCTTCAACTTTTGTTCAACTCTTGAAGAGGAAGAAGAAAATGAAAAGAAAGGAAGAATACAAGGAAAGATAGGGGGTAAAAAGGAGTTCATACGTGAGATCATCAAAATTAAATGGATTTTAGCCTTTCAAATGAATAATGGGTAAATTGCTTCCTTGGCCACTCTAACTTGGTTCTCATAACAAAAAACACTTTTCTTATCTTCTAATGGGCTTAAACCAAACCCAATCCAACTTTAACATGGACTAAGGCTTTATAAAACTAGTTGAGTTTATAGATTGATATTTTTAGGAACAATCGGTTTCTGGGAATTAAATCTATAAACGTTTGGATGTATCTAGACAATTTCTCTACTATGTTCAAAGCAGATAATAGGTTGTTTATTGTGTCAGATACGAGAGTAATTACAACAGTTACATGTGTAATTACAGAGTTACAAATAGCTAGAAATAAAATTACAAATCTAGACTGCTTTGGGGCCATGTTCATTTGCTTATTTCAGCAGTTACAATAGAGTTTAATTTCAGAAATTAAATCAAATTTATTTTTGATTTTTGTTGGACATTTTTGTCCCTGAAGCTCAGCCTATAAATAAAGAGGCTCTCTAAGCTTCTCACTCACTCTCAAACACACAAATCCTCTCGACACCCAAAAGCTTTCTTATATTTTTCTCTCCACTGCAGTCCACTCTGGTTTCGGGTGTATGAATTCTCAGAGAGACCGTGTTAACCTCGGGAGACGATCCACCTATTGCAACGATTACATACATCGGGGCAAATTTGTTTCTAAGGCAATAGTCTTCACCACGACACGATTTCTAAAGTTCATTTGTTCATTTTATTTATTTGTCATATCAGTGCTAACAGTGTAATTTTGTAGTATTTATTTCCAACAAATATATTTACTAAATGAAAGGAAACACTCAGATTTTGTTTACAGGGTAGTCTTTTCTTCGTAATTTTTTACTGTTCGTCGAGTATGCGTATTTACTTGCTCAAAATACCCATTCCACTTAATAAACATTTCTGCTGCCTAACTTGCATTTGCATAATCTTTTTTTTTTTATGGAAAAAGAAATTTGACTGTTCCTTTCCTTCCTTTGTTTGAGTTGGAGAGGAATCCGACAGGATTCGCATTTTGCTCATTTTTCAGCATGTTTTTACACGTGTTCTCTTCAGTGTTGTCAAGGGTTTTTATATACTTGAGAACAAGAAGCAAAAAATGTGCTTTGCCCGAGCAAAAAGGGTATATGTATGTGTGTTTCCTTACCTAGTATATTATGTCTTTTCGTGGTTTGAGTAAAAGGCAGTGGTAATTGAGGGACCGAAGTGGACAGCGAAACGCTAGAGACGAGCCCGGTTCAACGGTCTCAGTCGTCATAGCTTAGCTTATTGTAAGATTTCGATATCTCGGCCTTATTCTCTTCAGCTCCCATGCTAAACTTTTCATTTTTAGATTTTGGCTAGATTTTTATACATGTTTTTGTTGAATCGGAACCTTGCTTTTTTCTTTTCCCTGGAAATTTTGACAAGCAAAGGCCGAAGCGAGACTAAATATTGACTGTTTGGGAAATTTTGGTAGCTCTAATCGGTAATTTAATTTCTGCGTTTCTTATTTGATTCATTTATAGTTTTGTATTTTTACTTAGATTTCGATTTGTTTAATGAATTTCATTATTTTTTCTATTTTTTTTATGTATTTGAAAGACCATACCTATAGACTATAGTGCTTAAAAAGAAAATGAAAAGTTACAACAACATTGCAGTTCTCTTATATATCAATGGCACTAGGGGTAAGAAAAGAAGAGTGGAAAGAATTAGGGTTGAATATTCAATTAAAATGGAATGAAAAAAATTGAATTAGTCAAGTCAATGAATACAATTTTATCATTTAAATTTTATTTTATTATTTTATTTAAATTAAATTTATGAAATTCAAGTAGGGTCAAATCTAATATTGTTTGAGTTTTTGTTCAAATATAATTATTTATAATAGATACCGATTGATTTTAATTTAAATTACTCTTTTTTACCATAAACGATATATATTATATAATTTAAAGTAACAGAAACCTGAATGGTAATGTAGACAAACATTTTCATTTCTATCAAAATTTGTGATTTTAGAGGATTTCTACGATCCGAGCAAACATCTTTGTTTTGTTTTTTATTTATTGTGGCTCAAGATTTCTGATTCCTTTGTAGGCACCCAATACACTCAACAATCATACAAAGTAAGCGATTCTTTCCCCTTTAAGTGGATAAACAAAAAGTGGAGAGAGGGCTTAAACAATAAATGATAATAAAAATATATAGGACCAAAGCATACTAAATTAAAGTAGAATCATTAAATTCTGAAGTACAATACAGGAGAGGGACTAAAATCATAACTAGACCCAGGGGTGCTAGGATAATGACCAGTACATAAAGTCGACTGAGCAAAAACCCTAGCCATCATCACTCACAATTTACACAATAAACTACTGTGAAACCTACAAGGTGATAGCTTATTCAAATGAACACGTGGTTATTTCGGTTTAAGTAGTGTAGTATGCACTAATATATATATATATTGTCACAGACTAAACTTCTAGGTCCATAGACATCGGCACAAATGTTTACAAGAGGGGTTCTATGTGCGCAGACTTAGGCTTGTTGGGCTTGATGAGTTGGCTCAGTTCTTGGTGTTACATGTTCGATGGGAGCAATTTTGTCGAGGCTCGTGAATTCAGACCGAGACATGTGTGCGCGGATTTCTGTAAGATAATCCTATGGAGTGTTGGGCTTGCCCAGAACCATCAAACCTGGCCCGTTCTTTGAAAGGTTTCAGAAAGGATAAATATTATCCAATAATTAAGGAGATAAATACTTAATTAGGGATAATGTTATATTTGAATTCAAATGCCTTAGAGATAGAGTTATGGATAAGGTAGAATTCAATCTAAATCATCGATGTACTTTGATCTAGACCGTTGAATCTTGAGGGCCTCAACTATAAATAGAGAGTTCCTCCCGTCATTTGTAATCATTCCATCAATTACATTCTTTCATATTAATAAACTCAGGCATTTACTCTTACTCTCTCTAAGTTCCTTTGTTTCTAGCTTTCTAGCCTTGTTGGCTTGTTCCCATATGCGCTGAAGCCTTGTGGCTTGTGTTTCCAATCGTGAGGGTTGAGGTACCCTTGAGAGTTGTTCATTTCCGAGTTATTTTGAATTTCCAAAGTGATTCAAGTTGTGGTGAGTTAGGAAGTCCCCACAGTTCTCGTACTTCTGAGATCCGTTCAATCTTGGAGGCTTGGATCAGCCCTAATGGTGTTTTGCTTACGCATTGTTGCCTAACCTGAGATCTGTTCAACCTAGGTTACTTGGATTAGCCCTAGTGGTGTTTTGCTTCCACATTGTTGCCTAACCCTATCGGGTGTGTTCTTCGCTTAGTGAGCCAGAGACTCACAAGGAACTGGTTAAGGCTGACTTAGGCGCAATTTCAACCTGGAAATCGTCTAAGTGTTGCACGAATCGACGAAGCAGAAGTCTAGCCCCGTGACAATATATATAGATTTAGATCTAGGAATTTTAAAAAAACTATAGGGGAAATGTAACACCCATTTCCCGTATACGTCCTCATACACAAGTCACAAATGTCACATGACTTTCAAAACATTTATGTACTTGGAAACCAGTAAAATTTTGTTTCTTTAGATAAAACAATTTAATAATATAGTTTATAAAACATTCTTCATATATATATATATATATATATATATATATATATATATTAAACAGAGCAAATAGAACATTCATAAGTACATGCCACTAAATTGTCAAAAATTACATCATAGAATGTCTTATAGATATTGTAGTATATTCCTTAATGCTTGGAGTTTCTCGGTACTCTTTACTTCTAATCTTGGCTTTTTCCCACGCGTGAAACCAACACATGCTAAGTATTCACTTAGTGAGGCACAATAATATAAAAGAGACTTAACTGAAACATAAGCATATCATAAAATATCAAAATATGAATTTAATCGTATAAATCATAATAATAAATAAAACTGGCTTGGTAAACCAAGTTTCTTTCACATAACATGCGAAACAATATTTAGTATGCCCAACATACTTATCAATCATTATTTTCCAAAATTATTCTTTTATTTGCCTAATGTATGTTGAATGAGAATGCATGGTACATGAGTTGCACATAAGTGCCAAAATGAAAATTCAGAAACTCATTATGAATTACATGGATGCACACATGGTGCCAAAAGTACATATAGTACTGATACGAAAATGCAACATATGCATTAAACAAAATTGATCGATAACCTTCATACATAAATGTATGTCGAAATGGTAATTCACAAACTCATTATGAATACCATGGTTGCACACCTAGTGCCGAAAGTACAAATAGTACTGATACGAAAATGCAACATATGCATTAAACAAAATCGATCGATAACCTTCATACACAAAGTATGTCGAAATGCACCTATGACTCTCAATGCACATACAATGGGCCTTTAAGTCAAATTAAAATGTTAAACATTTATTTCTAAAACATCAATAATTGTTAAAATAATATAAAAGATCATTCTTTCATTTTAGAGCAGTCCATACTCTAAAATTATTCGTAAAATCATTTCTATAAACATTATGAAAATATATCAAAATACTGTAAAACATACTTTTATCAAAACATCCGAGGTTAACTCATCGCAAGTCATCCTCGTCTCATATAAGTATATAATAATCCACTCACCTCGTACGCCTCACTATTATGTCTTACTGACGAAGTCCAATTATTCTTGAACTTTTTCCTTACCTTTTGATTTGCTTGAATCACAAATTTGATCACGAACTTTATAAGCATCCATAATCACATATACAAATATAAAATACAATGTTAGTATCCTTACTAACATTTATACAAAATAATAATACTAAAAAGTACCATTATTTCCGAATTCTTTTAAAATTCATCTTAACTTCTCTTTTTTATTCATAATGGACCCTTGTCATAATTTCTTCCCTTAAAGCCTTCAACCAGTAATTTCCAATAATATACATCAAATATTAACAAATTCGCATTTACATAAACAAAATAACCCATCCACTTAAATTTTTATACTAAATAGTATCGGTACTCCTCATACAGTATCGATACTTCTCTTCTATGGTACCGATACCCATTTTAGTATCGATACCATTTTTGCATTCTGGAATTCCATTTTTCAATTACAGTATTGATACCTTTCTCTTGGTATCGATACCTCCACATCAGTATCGATGCTACTTTCATCAGTATCGTTATTGTTCATCGTGTTCATACTCTTTCCTCTAATTTAACCTTATAGTATCGGTACTGTTCTTCCAGTACCGATACCCTTACCCAGTTTTTACTTATTTCACTTCGATTTTTACCCAAATTTCACCTAAATCTCATACTTTTATATCCAACCATACCATCAAACTCATTATCATTTATCCAAACTAACTTACATTGATAAATCTCCTTATAATATCCAAAATCTCCAAAGAACACTTAAAACTAAAAATTACACAAAATTTTCAAACTTGTTTTCAAACACTTCTAAGGCTCCAAATCTCTTATTTACTTTTTTGACAAGTCAAATATGCTTTTAAACTCTAATAACTAACCATATTTCATCAAATCACTTAAAAACCTATTTTATTAAATCTCTAATAAATCACTAATCTCTTAGTTTTAACCATCCTTGAACTTTTCTTAAGCCTCTATATCACTTAAGGCTTCAAACCAACCCAAAAAACGAAAGGAAAACCCAACTTGAAGAAATATTACCTTTTCTATGGAGGGTACGGGGACGAGAAGAAGAAGAATAAGAGTAGAGATCCAAGTTGTTAGCTTATCCTTTTTCCCCTTTTCAATCCTCAATAAATATCCCTAAAAGAATAAATATTAAATTCATTTCCTCTAAAAGACCATAATGCCCCTCAATTATTCCATTTTTATTAATAAGTCTTAAACACAATTTCCTTAATCAATCCATGTACTTTTCAAATAATTCAAATTAACCCACAAAATTTTAAATCCTTACAATATAGTCATTGTCCCGATGATTGGGGTATTACAATTCTCCCCTTAAGAAAATTCGTCCTCAAATTTTAAGACGTGCCTGAGGTGAAAAGGTGTGGATACTTCTTCCTCATGTCCTCCTCTCTTTCCCAAATAGCTTTCTCGACTTTATGATTTTTCCAAAGCACTTTAACTAGAGGAATCTTCTTGTTACGTAGTTTCTTAATTTCTTGAGCCAAGATTCGTATTGTTCTTCTTCATAAGTCAAATCTGGTCGGATCTCTATTTCTTCCAATCTAATAACATTTGAAGGATCGAATCGATACTTTTAGAAATACCTTATCTCCCACTTGATATTCAATCTCTTTTCTCTTTAGATCAACATAAGACTTCGACTTATCAGATGCATTCTTGAGATGTCTTAAATTATCTTCACTTTATCCTCAACCTCTTTTAATAAATCAAGGCCAACCAGATTTTGATCTTTTAACTCAAACTAATTTAATAGTGTTCAACATTTTCTCCCATATAAAGCTTCGTATGAAGTCATCTTGATGTTTAGCTTTCTCCTATTGGTACATTAGACACTTTACCATAATTTATGTGATGGCTCTTTTCAAACTATGCCACCAACCCGACTCTTTAAATCTTGGTACATCTTGTTTCCACCTGAATGCATAGTCAACGGACTTAATGACCCAAAAAGAATATCTTTCTTTAATTCTTCATCGTCAGGAATACAAAGTTTCCCACGATAGTACAAACATCTGTCGCCCTTGACCTCAAAAATCCATAATCTCTTCATTTTCTACTTATACAATTCTTACCAAGAAATTTTCATCTTTCCTTTGTAATTATCTTATCCGATCTAAAAACATCGACTTTATCTTTAATTCAGCTTACAATGCCATTTTCTTTCAACAATAGTCGCACATCCATAGCTTGCAAAGCTGCAAAAATTTTCCGACTAAATGCATCTGCAACAACATTTGCCTTCTCTGAGTGATAATCAATGATCACGTTATAATCTTTTAAAACCTTTATCCATATTTTCTGTCTCTGGTTCAGCTCGTTTTGAGTCAACAAATACTTTAGGTTTTTGTGATTTGCATAAATATAGCACCGCTCACCATACAGATAATGGTGTCAAATCTTTAAAGCAAACTCGAATGTTGCCAACTCTAAATCATGCATAGGGTAATTCCTCTTGTTATTCTTTAACTT